CGGAAAAATGACATTTGGCGAATAATCATGCGTCCCTTTAATTTTTTGCGAAGAATATTATTACTCTTGAAAATAATTGAATTTTTGCAATAATTTCTAACTTTTACAAAATTGAATTTTTTTTCGTGTTTTTAACTAAACATCTTCCATAAATTTATTATTTTTAATAATTTTTGTAAAAGTTCTTTAATATTTAAAAAAATAATTGAATCTCCATGAAAATAAATTGAATATTTTTGAAAAGAATGGAATTATTGCAAAGAAATTTATAAAAAATTTGTAAATAATTGAATTGCTGTGAAATATTTGTTATTTATAAAAATAATAAAAGGTTTGCTTAGAATTTTATCAAAAAATTTTTAAAATAATTAATTTCTTTTGGAAAATTTTATTAAATTAGTAGATATTGAAAATCATTGAATGGAGGAGAATTTTTGAAAAAAAAATTGAATTTTTTAAAAAGAATTTCATTAAAATTTTTGAAAATAATTGAATTTTGGAGAAAAATTTTAATATTTATAAAGATAATTGAAATTTTGACGATAATTTTTTCAAACTTTTGACCATAACTAAATTTTTGCGAAGAATTTCATTACATTTGAAAATAATTGAATTCTTCAGACGTATTTTTTAATAATATTATTCTTTTTAAATACCTAATTGAATTCTTTTGTGAAATTTTATTGAAATAGTAGATATTGAAAATAATTGAATTTTTATAAATTATATAGAAATTAATGAAATTTCTAGGAAGAATTTTATTAAAATTATTTTGAAAATAAATTGAATTGTTCAAAAAGAATTTCATTAAGATTTTTGAAAATAATTTAATTCTTTCAAAAAAATTTAATTAAAAATGTATTGACAAATAATACTTAAATTCCAATAAATAAATTATAGGAAGGCTTTTTAAAATAATAGAATTTCTTTGATGAATTTTAATAAAATTTTTACGAATAATTACATTTTATGGAAATATCTGAAAAAATATCTGAAAATATTTGAATTCTTCCGAGAAATTCAATTAAAGATGTTTTGAAAATAATTGAGGTACTGCAAAGAATTTTACTATTTATAAAAATAATTGAAGTCTTACGAAGAATTTTGCCATTTATAAAAAAAAATTGAATTTTTTCAAAGGATTTATTAAGATTTTAGAAAAATAATTGAATTTATTCGAAATATGTTAAAATTTTTTTTAAAAATTAAATTCTTCCGAGGAATTTAATTTCAATTATTTTCAAAATTTGCAATTAATATTCTTCAAATGTTGATTTTTAAAAATTTGTATAAAACACTTTAAAAAAATCAATTATTTTCAATTAAATTTTACAAAATTTCAATATTTATGGAAACACTTTTCAATTGTTCGAAAATAATTTGCTTTTTATACCTACTAAATGCAATATTCGGAAGAAAATTCGAAAAAAGTCGCAATTTTTGAAAATAAGTCGAAAAAAGTCGTATTTTTTAAAAATAGTCGAAAAAAGTCGAAAATGTTATAATATCCGAGGCCTGCTAGTATAATTTTTGAAATATAATTTCTTTATATTTTTTAATAAATTTTTTGTTGTACAATTATATTAATAAGTACTTTTGTACGAAAGGATTTATTTGAAACCCGTTTATGTTCAAATAAATAAAATAAATAAATATAAAATCAACATTTATGTTAAATCTATGTATACATTTTCTTAATTTCTTCTTTTTGGGAAGTTTGTCAAAGTAAATTAAAGCAAATTTGTCCCATTACTGCTGTTTATTACGATTATAAATTTCGATAAATTTTTCCTCTTAATTATCCTCATTAATTTTTGATATAATTTACAGGGGAAAAAAAATGAACTTGTTTGAATAAAACTTTCAGACGTATATCCTTTTTTTTCTACCTTTCATTTCGTCTACTTATCCAATTAACTATTTTCAGTTATATTGCTTCGGCAATAGTGTATGTTTATTCCGGTTCATTTAATTTGCAAACAGTCGTGTTTAATTTTATTGTGAGTTTGCATTTTCTGCCGATGCCCATACAGTCGGGGAGTAAAGAAAGCAATATCTTCACTATTCCCATACTAATAATGTCTACTGACTGCTCATGAAGGCATGTAATTTATTTTTTTCTTCCACAATATGCTATTCTGATTTTCAATTTAATTGGATGGTCAACGTCCCTGATGGTTGACACGACAATGAATATTGATTTTAATCCAATAAAATTATCAACGATGATTTAAAATTAGATCATGACGAAACAGGTTTTTTTAAAATTAAGTTTCGTTGATTTACGCATCATAAAAGATTTTTTTTAATTTCTTACATTTTTTTTATTTACCAACGTTAATTAATTTGTTTTGGACTATAGTGGGAATAATAAGTATCTCGACAATTATAACCGCCCGTGAATATTTTTCTTTTGAAAACTTTAGTTTGAAAAAGAAGAGAAATAAGTGAAATGGTTTCAATTGCAAATGAGAATTCTTTTTTTTTAAATTATTAATTCCCTCACGTATAATATTTGTATAATAAACGTGAAGCAAAATGTGTTGTCTCATAAATGTCAAGAATTATATGACTCGCATCCATATACATAAGTCATAAATATTTTCTAAGTAACAGTTACGTATTCCGTCAGACATCAGTAGCTTAATCCCGTTAAAAACCGAACGGAAACAAATCGCGTCCCTATTCTCCATGTCTTCCGTTACTGTTTTTTTTTTTTTTGTTTTTTTTGTGTTTTAATCAAAAACATCAAGTCACCCACTCGTGAGATGAATTAAGGTTATTCTACAAATACAAATTTACTATAAGTAGTACTATTAGCGGTGAATAAATTATAAAAAAATGTGCGTGGTTAGTTTACTGATCAACTGGTAGTTTTCGGTTTGCAATATTTATTATTTCTTTTACCTAACATTCTAAATATAAATTTTTTAATTTTCTTTGAAAATTTTAAGTTTTGAAAGTTCAAATGAACTAACAATTTTTTTTGTTAAAATATTTTTGAAGGGTTGCCAACAAAATATACTTTTGTTTTTTCCTGAATTTTCTCTAATTTTCCGAAAGAATTTTCAACTTTTTTTCCTGATCCCAAGGGGCAGTTCAAAAAATACGTAAAGCTTTAGGGGGGAGGGGGGGTCAAGCTATTTGTTACGGTCAGCAGAAAAAATGGCGCTAATGTATACAACATTGCGTTACATGGGGGGGGGGTCCAAATTTCAGAAAAATAGCGTTACGTATTTTTTGAACGGCCCCCCAATAAAAAAAATTAAAGGGGAATTCAATTATAAAAAAGATGATACTTTCCTAAAATGATTCAAAAAAATTAAATTATTTCAAAAGTCCAATGAAGTTCGTTGTAAAAATTCAATTTCATTTCTATAAATAATAAAATTCTTTGCAGAAATTTAAATATTTTTTAAACATTTCAGAATTTTCTTCGCAGATATTCTATTATTATTGAAAAGTGTAATAAAATTCTGGCCAAGAATTTAATTAGCATTATTATTAGTAGCAAAAATTCTTCGCAAAAATTAAATTAATTTTAAAAAATAACAACCATTTTATCAGGAATTCAATTATTTCCACAAATTTCATAAAGTTCTTCGCAGAAATTTAATTATTTTCAAAACTTAAAAATAAAGTTCTTGAAAAGAATTTACTTATTTTTTTATAAATAACAGAATTTTTCCCAAAAATTCAATTTTTTTTTTTTTAAATAACATTTTTAGCAGGAATTTGATTATTTTTTTTCAAATTTTCATAAAATTCATTCCAAAAATTCGATTATTTTCAAAACTTTTAATAAAGTTCTTGACAAGAATTCAATTATTTTTATAAATAACAAAATTCTTCGTAAGAATTCAATTATTTTTATAAAGAACAAAATTCTTAGTAGGAATTAAAATATTTAAACATTTTTTTACAAAATTCTTTGGAGAAATTCTATTATTTTTTAAATTTGTAATAAAATTCTTGTCAAGAATTAAATTATCATTATAAATATCAAAATTTTTCGCAAAAATCCAATTATTTTCCAAAATAACAAAATTTTTAACATGATTCAATTATTTTCAAACACTATATAAAATTCTTTGCAGAAATTCAATTATTTTCTAAACTTTTTATAATTTTCTTCGCAGATATTCAATTATTATTGAAAAATGTAATAAAATTCTGGGCAAGAATTCAATTAGCATTATATAAGTAAAAAAATTCTTCTTAAAATGACATTTTACCCAAGTGCATTTATCCGAACTGTTATTTTAACGAATTGTCACTTTTGCGAATTGCCATTTTTACGAATTGCCACATTTGCGAAAAGTCATTTTTGCGAAATATCATTTTTACGAATTGTCATTGTTCCAAAACGTCATTTTTACGAAATATCATATTTGCGAATTGTCATTTATGCGAACTGACATTTTTTCGATTTGTCATTTTTACGAATTGCCATTTTTACATAATGTCACATTTGTGAATCGCCATTTTTACGAATTGCCACATTTGCGAAAAGTCATTTTTGCGAAATATCATTTGTACGAATTGTCATTTTCTCGAATTGTCATTTTTATGAAATGTCACTGTTGCGAATTGTCATTTTTGCAAAAATTGCTATAGTAAATCTATATATGCATACAAGTTTACTATAACAATTTTCGCAAAAATGACAATTCGCAACAGTGACATTTCGTAAAAATGACGATTCAAAAAGTGACATTTCGTAAAAATGACAATTCAAAAAAATGTCAGTTCGCATAAATGACAATTCGCAAAAGTGACAATTCGTAAAAATGTTTCTTTAAAGTTGATTAATTTCAAAAAGGTTTGAATTTGAAATTTTTGAAAATCTTAATTCCTATGGGAAAAAATAATAATATTATTAAATTAAATTAAATATTTAAAATACTAAATTAAATTATTAGAAATTATTAATTATTATTAATTAAATTAAATTAAATATTTAAAATATTTAACTTAGTAATTAATATAATGTTTCCCAGGTGTATTTAATTTTGGATCCAGAATCAGAATTCCGTTACTTTCGCACAGGTGCGAATTCAGATCTTTCGGGTACGGAGTTTTAATGGTTTAAGGTGAGTCAAATAGTTAGATTTACGTTGACCGTTACGAGTTTTAAAGTTGGACTGACCTTCGAGAGGCCAATTATGTCATATACGAAGTCGACCGTTGACCCAAGTTATTCTATAGTTCAGTTCTGAGAAAAATTCGGTTAACCCAGATTAAAGAGTTGGAAACACGGTTCTATCATTATGCTTACCCGGGTAACATCCGAGATGGTACAGAAATTTTCTTCAGCTACCCCGCGTACAATGTACTCCGTACAATGTCTACTGCAACTGATAGAGTCTAAATTGCTGTTCTCATTTGCATCTCTAAAAATGGCTACAGCTCCCGAACAACATGTTCGTCTCATGTACAGATGGATCGAAGCGAGAGAGTCGTGCCTTATTTTTTAAAAGATATCTTTAGGTCATAAGATGTCTGTGTGGGATTTTTAGAATTAAAAATGTATCCCAAAGGGTAAGATGCATTTAGAATCTTTAGGATTTAAAATATTCTTGGGTGAAATATGTTTGTATAGGAATTTTTAGAATTTAATGTTTATTATTTATTATCCTAGGGTGTAAGATGATTCAGGATCTTTAGGGTTTAAAATAAGTTAACTTAGGGCATAAGATGTCTGTAGGATTTTTAGGTTTTGATTAAATTATTTCGCTTATATTCGATAGGCCTATCTAATAAGATAGATTTAGGATCTTTAGCTTTCGAAATAAATTATCGACGGGCGATTTTTAGATTTTGAAATACAGTATATATGTTAGGTCGAAGATGGATTTAGAATCTTTAGGATTTAAAATTTTCTATGGTAGAATCTAAAGTAATGCTTCTGTTAGGACTTACTATTTCTACTATAGGACTCCCAAGGGTTTATTTAGATTATCTCAGAGTACACTTGCGAATAAACGGAGTTGGAAACATTTCAGTGGTAATACCCTTCTTACGTCATTGTTATGCTGAAACCATTTTTAGCTGGTTTTTATCTTCTTTCTTGAAAACTCCCAAGTCACGAGTTTAACATCCTACTCATACGACCATTACTCTCCATAATCGTCTATTTGCACACCTGGTGGGGACCAGTCTCCTACGCTAGAATAACAGTATAAACTTAAAAGTCTTTTTTGAATCTATTTGCCAAAGTTGTTCATACAGTTGGACCAACGTTCACTTATTATACTTTACGACCAAGCAAAGATAAAAATTCTTCACCATTATTTTAAAATAACCACGCACTCAATCCTTTTACGTCTTCTAAACTATAATTTGACCCCAAATTCAAAATTTTAGTAGCGAAAACCGACAGTCAATCCAATTACTATTCTTCAAAACTACAATTTTATCTCGAAATCAAACTTTTAGCGAAATACTTTTTACTTAATTTCACTTGTTGTAATAGGTACTTAAGGGTGTATAAACAAATAATTCCTAAAGTTGTGATTCTTACCAACCGTTCAAAAAATTAAGAAAATTAAATGTTTCTGATAGGATGGAAAGAGAGATTTTGTCACTACAAACTATGGTAAATTAGTAAAATAGTAAATTAGTGATATAGAAATATAAGAAGAGGAATAGAAGATAGAAAAAATAGTCGAGACTAACTACGTGGCGAAAAAATACTCCAAATGAGAAAAATTCAAAGAACTATACTTCTTTGCTATCATGTGGTCTGATAGTGTTCCCTCACAAATGAGGCATAGCGACAGAACGCTACTTGCTGTTTTTTCTCTCTTAATATTTGGGACTATATCTTCTGCAATGCCTATGATAGCGTAAATCCCCTTAAAGGAATCCCGTTATGATTATGAGATCCTGTCTCATTATTTCATACTTTGGACATTTCTTCAGAACATGCTCTGCTGAATTCTGCTCACCACATGAACATTTACTTTTCTTCTCTACTTGTTATCTTGAATCTGCTCTTGATTGTCTTAAAATTGCCGTATGTCCAGTGATGAATTGCGTTGGGAGTATGTAACTTCCACTTGGTGGTAGCCAATCGCTACTTTTTTTATTCAGTCTTCATTTGATAATTTATTTTCATTTTTTTCATTCTGTATACTATATACGAAGATATTTACTCTAATCTATTTACTATTTCTTTATTTGGTATTCTACTCTAATATTTATGTTAATTTTTCTACAACTGGTATTTTACTTTATATTTATATACTAGATTTATTTAGTAAAATTTACTTAGTCAGTTAAGTAATTTATTTAGTAAATTTCAGGGCTTGAACTAGGTCCGAAATGTAAAGGTTGGTAAATTTGCTTAAAGTCCGTAAAAGTCAGTTTTTTGTAAAAAAAAAGAAAAAGGTCCGTAAAGTCTGCAATATGATTGAAAAAGAACGAAAAATTCGTAAATTGTACGATATAATTTTGGAAATTTAGAAAAAAGTTAGAAATGATTTCAGAAATTCAATTATTTTCAAAAATTTCCCTCAATTCAATATCTATTTTAATAAAATTTTCCAAAAGAATTCAATTATTCTAAAAAAAATTTTAAATAAAATTCTACTTAAACATTTATCTTTTTTCATAAACAATAAAAATTTCACAGTAATTCAATTAATTTATATATTTTTTTTTAATTTCTTCGTAATAATTCCATTATCTTCATAAATAATAAATAATTTTAATTTTTAATAATTAAAAATAATTCTTGACACAGTTTTTGACAGTTTTCTTAAAAGTATCAAATTGATTCGAAAGTGAGTTAAATTTGCATTAATTTAAGATTCGAATCACTTTTTTCATATTTTTTTTTTTGAAAATAATGTTTGTTTTTATAATTTTCATTAAAAATGTAGAAAATAATTGAATTAAACAAAGAATTTTTTCAATTTTTTAAAATATTCTTGTCTGTTTGTAATTATAATTGAAAATTTGATATATTCCATTTGATTAAAATGTTTTGCTACTAATTGAATTTCTGCAAAGAATTTTACTATTTCAATTTATAAAAGTATAATTGATTACTTCCAAAGTATTTTATTATTTATGAAAATAATTAAAAGTTTGCGTAGAATTTTATTAAAATTTTTGAAAATAATTGAATTGTGGAGAACAATTTAATTATTTTAAAAAATAATTGAAGTTTTGAGGAGAATTTAAAAAAAATTTTTTATAATTGAATTTCTGCGAAGAATTTTATTACTTTTGAAAATAATTGAATTGTTTTTTTGAATTTTATGGAAATTTATGAAAATAATTGAATTCTTGTGAAGAATTTTAAAAAAAAAAAATTATATTCAAAAGAATTTAGTAAATCTGAAGAATTTTGCTATTTATGTGAAAATAATTGAATTCTTGAGAAGAATTTTTTTACAGTTTCTAGAAATAATTTAATTTAAATTTAATATTCAAATTATGATTTTAAATTTTTCGACTATTCAATTATTCAAATACAAAAATAAATAATTTATCAAATAATTGAATATTTCTTAAAATTGAATTTTTATGAAGAATTTCATCGAAATTTTTAAAAATAATTGAATTCTTTCGTCGAATTTAAAAAAAAAATTTTAAGAATAAATGCAATTTTCTATCAAAATAATTGAATTCCTGCATCGAATGTTATTAAAAAAATTTTTTAAAGATTTTAATTTCTGTGAAGAATTTTATTTGTAAAAATAATTGAATTCCGGAGAAAAATATTATTATTTATGAAAATAATTAATTTCTTGTCAAGAATTTTATTCCAATATTTTAAAATAATAATTGAATAATTCTCAGAATTTTTTAAAACTTTTTCAAAAAAAAAAAAAAATTAAATTCCATCGAGAAATTTCATTAAAAAATTGAAAATAATTGAAATCTGACGAAGAATTTTATTAAATTTTTTCTAAATAATTTAATTCTCGTGAAAATGTTTTGAAAAGAATTGAATTCTTGGGAAGAATTTTATTACAATATCCTAAATAATTGAATTACTTCGAAGAATTTTATTTTTTACGAAAATAATTGAATTCTTTCGACGAATTTTAATAATATTTTTAAGAATAAATACATTTTTTTGAGGAATTTGATTAAAATTGTATAAAAAATAATTGAAATTCAGCAATGAGTATGAGTTTTACTATTTATGAAAATAATTGAATATATTACGAAGAAATTTTAAAAGATAAAATTATAATTACGGTGACTAACCTTCTTGGATTATTTTCGAAAACTTTAAATAAAATTCTCTAAAAGAATTTAATTATTTTTAATATAGAATATTGTGAAGAAATTTCAATGTAATCAAAAATTTTCAATTATTTGTTTATTAAAATTCAATTATCTTGAAACAATAGAATTGAAAAATTACAAAAATCGTATTTTTCAGAATTTTTGAAAAAAACTTTGCGAAAATTTATTTTTATTAAATGTTCGGTATCTTTATTTAAATTAACTAATAAAAATTTTAATTATTAATCTTAGCACTAAGAAACATGAATAGAATGTGACTCTTTATAAAATTCAATTATTTATCAATTATTAAATTAAAATACCTTGAAAATATTCGATTTGTTAAAAAGTTTTTAATTTCTTTAACAAATTTAATTATTTTCAGTTGAATTTCACTAAATTTTTATTAATTCAATAATTTTTTTAAAAATTTATTTACAACCTATATTTGAATCAGTGACTGATTTTTTACTATCTTAATTATTTTTAACTAATTCAAATTTAGAGAACAGTATAAATATCTATAAAAATTGAAATAAAAAGCGATTTTCTGAAACAAAATTAAAATAATAAAACTTTTTTTTAATAAGTATATTGAAAAAAGTTCCCTGTTTGGCATAAAATTCCTGATGGTTTATTTCCTGTTTTTCCCGGTCAAATTAAATTCCCGACTATTTCCCGGTTAATAGACACCCTGGAATTGAATTCTAAATATCGAAAATTGAATATTATTAAATATTGACTTTAATAACTACAATCAAATTTTTTTTCTTCAAATTGAATGAAATCGCTTCTCTCGAATTGAATTTCGACCAGACGAGATTTAATTAAATAATTATATGTAGCA